CGAAAAGGTTTTTGACTGGGAACGTTCTAAACGTTCACAATGACAGACGTATGGTGAATTGGGCCAAGCATCATTAAATATGAATTCTATTGGAAACATAAACAACGCAATAATAGTCCAGTTTGGAACAAAAAATGTCTCTAAAGGTTGAGAAAAATTCTAAGATATGCATAGCAGTCGATGTGCACCACTTCTTTGAGTAAATCAAGGACTTTCATGCATTTAGCTTTCAATGTCCTACTGTGTGCAATGCAGGCATGTTTTCTGTCAAAGACAATACCTGAAGACTTTGCTTCCTTAACGTGTTCCATTCAACGTGACTTTACGATCTTCATGTTGGCTTCATAGGTGACAGAAGTGCATTCATACTGTTACAAGCCAGGGATATTTGCTTGACTGAGCGGTGTCAAACCCTGGCACGATTCCGCTAGAAGTCATTAGTTTACCCCAAATCTCCAAAGACTTCCATACAACTTCAGTTGTATGTTAGAAAGTCCGACGTGTTCATTTTATTCATAATGTTTACTCTAATCAATGCAAGACCACAGATCTCACAGCTTTCTAATTGTCTATAAACCGTACATCTGCATGGTTTCTCTTCGTCAACTTTCCGTACAGTCAGAATTTCACGCCGTAAAACTAAACTTTCTCCAACACAATGAACTACTTTTACTACGCCACCATAGGCCAGTCAAATCATGGTTTCGAGCCACATGTCGTCTGTACAATTGCATCCCATTTGTTACCATTGCAACATCAACGGTATCTGCCGAGTTCCTTCTTGTTTATTCAGTTGTGTAATTTACGTCTCCTACAGTAAATACTGCAGCTTAGTCACACCACCAAAGTACACTACTAGATTTTAATAGGGACTGTAATATATTGAATTTTAAATGAGTATTGGACATTAAAACTGAATACATTATGCATTAAAATCGTATTACAGTCATTCAGAAAAAGTCTTTGTGAAGGGTTTCTTCGACATTTTCATGTCTGTGTTAGACTTAAAAGGCCAGTATCTACGGCTCGTTGTGAACTGACACGGGCATCTCAACGTTGAGTTATCAACCATAACCGCTTGGAGGTAAGCTCAGGTCAAATAGTCATTTTCAAAGGGAATGTTAGACGCACCGCTCACGTGTGCGTCTAACATTCCCTTTATAGTCAGTCGCTTTCGCCAGAGTGATGATCTATCGTATCAGGTCAGACTTGGATGTATATTACAGGAGTAGTGTGTAACTAGAGATAACGATTGTACTTTACTCAAAATACAGTCTAAATTTGTAAGGACCATTAATTGTTAAGGTCACCTTATGTCAGAATAGATAGTTTATGATTTCTGAGTAACGAAAGTAAGAGAATTTTATATACGGATAGAAAGTGATAGAAAGTGATACGTATAAAGATTTAGTGGTAGTCTTGTCATTTAAGGAAACAGCTCGCAAGAACAGACGGGGACAGTCCGAAGACGGAAGCCCGGAGAGAGATGAAGCGTTCAGAATAGAAGATCAGAGGAAGATCAACGGATACACGTGGAGGTGGGGAGACAAGACAGGAAGCGACGCTAGGTTATGCAAATTAGGCGTAGACATTATGCTCTTTTCACCAATCGTTATCATGATGAAATAAATCCAAAAGAGAACACTGCTATTAAATTCTGTAAACGTAAATTTATTGAATTGAAGTTGCCACTATTAGCTTGTCATTGATTAAAAAATTTTATTGTCTTGTCTAAGGTGACACGTCTTGTATTATTTCTTCTCCTTAGTCCTGTTATGTTCTCCGTTGATGTTCTATCTATCAACTCACACCGGGCAATAAAAGCGAGGTAGGTCATCCTCTAGATAACGACAGCCAAATCTAATTAACCACCAATCTTTACCAAGAGGGTCAACGTTACATGGACTACGGAACACCATCGACACTCATGCGGCTCTGACCTGAATTTCTCAAATGTAAAATATGGCATTCTGGAAACTCGCGAACACTTCACTCCGCGACGTTTGCTTCTAGTAGCTGGCTAATTATTTCGGGCTAAGGATATTTCCATTGGATCGATTTCCAATAATTGAACAAGTAATTGCAAAAATCTAAGAATTCCTTAAAATGGGCGCTATAACAAAATGTGAATACTCCGATTGTATTGCAATACTCTTTTTTATTTTGAGAACTTAAAACCATCATCAACATGTAGGGAGTAATCAAGACAGGAGACACACTTGTTGATGTCATCAAGTTTGATTTATAAAAGTATAACATATAGAATACTACCCTGAAACATACGCTACTCTTGTTCGTACACATCAAAGGGGCTCAACCCAGTGCCATTTTAAGGCATAGGCACGCGAGGCATGTGCCTAGGGCGCCGCGAAGAAGGGAGCCCAGCTGCGGCCAAAAAACAAAATTTTGGTGTCGGTTGTGTTAGCAGTTTAGTGTTTGTGTCTAGGGCGTCCAAACTTCTTAAAATGTTTCTGCCGCAGCCTACTCGTACTTTGAATTCCCTATCTGAAAGAAAGTGTGAAGACGACCTTTAAAGCCCAGATTATGCAGGTCATTCGCATTTCTGTACTTAGGCATTTTTTAAATCGAAGAAGACAGGTACTAAATGTTCTTTTTCATAAAAGCATCAAGAAAGAATGTTACAAGTATAACCAGATTATCGTTGGTAGCCCAGACATATCTGAAGCCACAATGAAAAGGAGGTACTAACTGATATTCTCCTTTGTTGCGTTGTTTTGCAGATACAGCTCGTCAAAGCAAATGGAACAGAAGTTCGTAGGATCCGTGTTATCCTTGCCTGGTTTGGGAGCAAGCATTGTTGTGGCCTTTATCCAAGTATTTTGGTACATTTCCACTGTTTCATAAATCATTCAAATTTTACTGAGGATCCTTTAGTTAGATTTCCTGGAGTATTTCAAAACTGGTACTACATCTCGTCTGGCTCGGTAGATGAATCTTAGGCCTTGTTTAAAGCATCCACGAGTTTTAAAAGTGAAATCTTTTTTAATTCCTTTATAAGACTGCTAATCATCCAAAGCTTTGCAGGAGATCAATTGTTTTCTGTTTTAATTTTATGGAATTTATCGAATCCACTAAATATTTTCTCGTTTGTTGATAAGTGTGTTTATTGCTTACTTACCATCTTTGATAAATAACTTGCTTGGGTGTCGGCATCTCACACCAAGTTTCTCAGCCTGCCATATCAATAACGTAGCTAGTAAACTGTGGGTTTCAGTGCAGACGCTTCCTTTTTTAGTTGCAGCTTTTAGATGGCAACTTATACAAAAGTTAACAAAGGCACATGTATCGACTAAATTTACATAAAATTTAATTTTTTATGGGGGGGGATTTCTTTTTGATCTGAGACATTTTATTTTCTTTTGTTGCAAAATACTTAATTTTATTTCAAATATTATAATGGATATAATATGGTGTAACTATAAATCAGAACAATGTTTTTTTCCAACTATTTGTTTCAAAACGTGTCAACCCTCTACTCCAGAAGATTAAATTGCTATAATTGAGGTACGTATCGCACTATTTTCAGAAATAACGCGGCATGGAATATTACCTAGCACCAAGCTCTACAACAGCATGTTCCATACTAAGTATTTTTAGTTATCAATTTTTTTTCTTCAAAAATCGTATGAAAATGATTATTCAATGTTGTTAATCTATGTATTTTGCTTCGTTCGATTTGTCAAATAGGTGATTACACATTACACATGCCCTTAAGATTTTGAAGGAACTGACGCAATACTTGGAGTTTTATCTACTTCTATAATCAAAATAATGTTTTTAAATTCAGACTCGTGCCTCCCTAAAATCTTGTCGGGTCCCCTGTTACTTTCCAAGTAAGGTAAATTTATGCTGTGTTGGCATTGTCACGGAGCCTGGGAAGTTCAAGAGGAAGTGTTAGATTAACTGTATACTATTTATGTAGTACAGAGTATTTTGCGAAGTACAGGTCCAAATTCTGCTGTTTAGCTTAAATTTGCATGGATGTGTTCAAATGTTTATCTTTTCCTAAATCAGTATCTAGCTGAAAGTTTAAATTTAATCAGACATCTTTTGTCATAACGTATCAGCGATCTTTTTGATCTTTTTATGAAAAAAATTGTTGACGAGATGGAAAGTTTGAAATTGGCTTTATTACTCCTAAGACATAGCTATTTATCACCACAGCTGGGCTTCGTGATAATTATCAGCATATGCCAGTATAATTTTGGCATTGATTGGTTACAAATAGAAATACTCCATATTTCATTATCAGATTCTTCGACGGTATCATATGTGGCGTTACCCATGCTAAACGTTTCGTTGGCACAGCTTATGTTACAATTCCCGAGAGCGAAAGTTTTCAATATTGTTCAAATGATAGTTGTTGAAACAGTGATTTCAAAAGCAATTTTTAAAATTGTGCGAAAGAAAGTCCATGATTAAAGATGTAGTCACAACACCAGCAAACAATTCATTTTATATGATTTTAAAACATCTTAACTAAAATTACTTACGCTTTTTGGGTGTAAATTTATTGTCTTGGGTTACGTTCTCAAACAAATTTTGGGTCACAAGAATCACTAAAACACAACCTCAAACGATCCGTGTGATTGTTATGGCATTATTAACGTCTGTCTTTGCGTGTGCTTTTTTATGAGTGTAAACAGTATATATCTTTATCGTCTATCCAACTCGTGTGAAAGTTATCTGAGAAAAATGAAGTGTGTGTGTGTGTGTGTGTGTGTGTGTGTGTGTGTGTGTTTGTGTGTGTGATTTGGATTTTCAACGTAGCTTTAACGATTTTTCAGTCATATCGCTATGATGTCTGTAGTGTGGCAGTTTATAGATGTCTAACACTGGGTCATCATGCCGCAGACATGTAGCATGATGTCCCAACCAGTCACATTATCCTGACACCAGGCCGACCAGTCATAACACTAACCTCTTAAAGATGAGTGCCAAGCGAGGCATCTGTTAGTACCATTTTTATGTCTTTTGTATGATTCAACCGGGGATTGAACCCATGACTTCCCCTATTCGAGGCGGATACTCTAACCACTAGGCCACCGGAGCGTTCGTGTTCATGGGTATGTTTTTAATTTAGAATTTTATACACGCAGCTTACAATATTATTTAATTACCATTACGGATCATTGCCATCTAATCTCACTCTGCATGGGTTCGAGTCTCAGGTTCGGCCAATGTGAGCATATGCGAAAGCTTGCCAGTAGCTCCTCGTGGGTCGGTGGTTCTTGCTAGGGTTCTCCCGGGTTCTTCCTCTACCATTCATAATGGTAGCCATGTATAGCCTATCTTGTGCTGAGAAAATGGCGCAAAACCCTACAACAACAACTACAACAACAATAGTATTTGGAAGAAGAGAATATAATCATAAAAAGGAAGTGGTAGTTATTCACCTAAACGATAATCAGTGTGGAGGATGGTCATATCGTCCAACCCTACTGCCTTCCCCCCTGTGAAACCAGCACTTACAAGAAAAGACTTTAAATAGTTGATACAGTTCTGCTGCGATTTTGCTATGCCATCTTACCATTCATCGTTTTCTTTATGTTCCATGGGAACCATTCAACCGTCTGTATTTCACGTCGTCTGCTACTGCTCACGCGCGTGCATGCAAGCTTTCCTGACTTGAGAAGGGGAGTGCTATCATGCTTTGATATCAGTAAAATAAATTATAAAATAATTAAATTTTTTCACAGTGTCAATACCAGTTAGCAAATAAATTCTTATTTATAGCTTTTGAGGAATTTGAAAACAATAACCTTTCATAAAGGTTGTTTCTCGAGCCATGAGGCGATTTGTTTTGGATACGTTTTGCTCAATTTTGCAAGTATTTAATAACCAAAGCTCATATTTTCGTTAAAATTTACTCACCTCAGTCGATATTCCTCGGTTCCATTTTCGCGAAGGAAAATTAGATTACATCTAGATGAATGCATTTAAATATATCACTTTCAAATTTATACTTCTTTTCCAAACACTCTATTTTCCATAATGCGATAATATGTAAACGTAACTGAATTAAGAATAGAAAATTTACAGTATTTTTTTTATAAAAAAAGATTATGGACGGAGTTGTATACATTTTAAAATTTATACGTATATGCCCATCAGGTGGAAATATTCTTCATATGGATATCATTATAACATTGTTGAGCTACGGCATACATGTAAGTATTTTTTTTTAACACGGTGAAACCAAAGAGGAATAAAATGTTAAAACAAAGTATTCTACAGACTTGAACACACCATCCAGCATTCTAAAGGCTTGAGTGCAACACCATACAATCTATAGGCCTGAGTGCAACACTCGACCATTTGTTCTAAAACGAAACTAAATCGGCTAAAATAGTATTGTATTGGACAATCTGGTCAGCATGTTGGTGATAATGGACAATCTGGTCAGCATGTTGGTGACAATGGACAATCTGGGCAGCATGTTGGTGACAATGGACAATCTAGTCAACATGTTGGTGACAATGGACAATCTGGTCAGCATGTTGGTGACAATGGACAATCTGGACAGCATGTTGTTGACAATGGACAATCTGGTCAACATATTGGTGACAATGGACAATCTGGTCAGCATGTTGGTGACAATGGACAATCTGGACAGCATGTTGGTGACAATGGACAATCTGGTCAGCATGTTGGTGACAATGGACAATCTGGTCAGCAGTTGGTGACAATGGACAATCTGGTCAGCATGTTGGTGACAATGGACAATCTGGTCAACATGTTGGTGACAATGGACAATCTAGATAGCATGTTGGTGACAATGGACAATCTGGTCAGCATGTTGGTGACAATGGACAATCTGGTCAGCATGTTGGTGACAATGGACAATCTGGTCAGCATGTTGGTGACAATGGACAATCTGGTCAGCATGTGGGTGACAATGGACAATCTGGTCAACATGTTGGTGACAATGGACAATTTGGTCAGCATGTTGGTGACAATGGACAATCTGGTCAGCATGTTGGTGACAATGGACAATCTGGTTAGCATGTTGGTGACAATGGACAATCTGGTCAGCATGTTGGTGACAATGGACAATCTGGTCAGCATGTTGGTGACAATGGACAATCTGGTCAGCATGTTGCTGACAATTGACAATCTGGTTAGCATGTTGGCGACAATGGACAATTTGGTCAGCATGTAGGTGACAATATAAATTTAATGTCTGTATCTGATTATTGAGGGGAAAGTTACAAACCTGCTTAGGATAAAATGAAAATCTGTCCGTTCCGGATCTGTTTCAAGTTTAAATGTGAAACTTCTGTACTGCTCGGGATCTCTGTACAAACATCAGTCATTATTATTTTATTACCTATGTCATGTTTCTACAACATTGGGGACAGTAACAAAGCCCGAACATTTTAACCAGAATCAGACAAGAGTGATATATTACGAACACTATCCGTAACTTATCAGTTTTGCAATATCTGTAATATCAAAGATACAGGTATGAACTTTACTCAAAACTATAAAATACATTTTCGAGAAATAGCCTTAATGTACCGAATGGCACTTCTCAGTTTATTTGTTATTTTGGTTTGTTTGTTTGTTGTCTTCTTTTCTTCTTCTTTATTCTTAAGGGGTTTCCAAAGAAAGAGACCCCGTTTTCTCCAAATATCATATCCATATATTATTGAATATGTGGTGATTTCAGATTCTGTTTGAATGACATACTGACATACATACATACATACATGCATCCATACACACATACATATATACATACATACATACATACATACATACATACATACATACATACATACATACATACATACATACATACATACATACATACATACATACATACATACATACATACATACATACATACATACATACATACATACATACATACATACATGAAAGCATGCATAAATACATGAAAGCATACATACATACATACATACATACATACATACATACATACATACATACATACATACATACATACATACATACATACATACATACATACATACATGAAAGCATACATACATACATACATACATACATACATACATACATACATACATACATACATACATACATACATACATACATACATACATACATACATACATACATACATACATACATACATACATACATACATACATACATAGTGTAACTTTAAAAAAAAACAAATCAGCCAGGATAAAGCAATCAGTTTTCATTTATCTGTACTCGGCAAAACTGTGGCATATGGTCGTTAATTTGCCAACTAGTCGCAAAGCCTAATGCTTAACGCCACACCCTTTCCTACGGCACGAGTTTTGTGCAAGTCCTGTGAAATCTCAAGCTGTCTCAATGTTTGGATTACATTCATCACGAGACGGTAGCAACTGAGGAAGATGATGCTGGGCTAGGACTGCTATTGCTTCACAGCATTGCTCCTTCCTTTCTCAACATGTCTTATATCTAAGTATCTTTCGCCTTGGTGAGCAAGAAAAAAAGTAATTTGTCTACCGATTACTGATATTTTTAAAGCAATTATTAAATTTGTATCAAAATTACAGCGCTTAAATGCATTTTAAAAACATATTTAAATTGTAACATGCAGTCTTGTATACAGTCTACACTCAATACAACGCCAACATTAAAAAACATGCAAAACTGTCATTCTATGGAGGTCGATTGTACAAGGTTCATAGGTTGCTAGTCATTTAGACCAGGGCTAGCTGGCTAGCTAGATAATAATATGCAATGAAAAAATAAAACTGTGTTTTATATATTTCTATATAATCAAAAATTATAGCATTGTAATTTATACACCACAAAAGGCAGTAAATGTTAATATTCGGAAAATGCAAATTGTAAATGAAAATTAAATATTGGTTGTTACTGATCGTATTAAACCGTAAATAGCGTGCTTAAAATTGTCTTCTCTATTTAAAATAATTACGAGTTAAAATCACCACTAAGTCAGCTGGTAGACAAATAATACATTCAGTAAAATAAAAAACACGATCTTTGTACTTCACAAAATTTTTCTGTCATAGTTTTCCGCCGAGTTTTCTTCTTGTATAAAGTACGCAAAGACACTTTGTGAACAAACTAAGGAACGACAGATTGTGGAAATTAATGCATGGTAGAATCGAGTGGCGGTATAAAAAAAAATGTCAACTATCTCGGAAAACTGCACTCTTGTCCAGATTTAAAACTGGTAGATGACAGTAAGCGAGAGTAGAAGTAATGTGCTAAATTATAGAATCGAGAAATCAATGTTTAAAATTTTGTCTGCGCCATGCAAGGGTGGCGGTATAGAAAGGTTCTCAAAGGTTTCTAAGTGATATGCTAAAATAATAAAATCAAGACTCCTTTGTATTATTTCATGTCGCTAGCCATCTACTAATAATACGCCCTCCGTTGTTTAAATTTGATGTAATACACCATATCATCTTTTCTCTATGGTTTGTGACACCAGAAATGAACAGAACAATACTTTTTTAATTAAAGTTAATGTCAGACCACACAAGGTGGCATTGGAGAATATCACAATTGTTACAGCATTGTAAGGCGACTTCACTGACATATGAAGATACAAATCACATCATACGTCACTATTTACAGAGTAATAAAAAAAAACATTCAGACGTAATGTGAGATAATTTTGGTACTTAATGTAACACTGTTATGGCAAGGTACGACGAATCTCTTGGTGCATACAAAAGTTGTAAAGAGAACAGATACTAGTATGAAGTATGGAAACTTTTAGCTTCCACAGATTACATTGATTACATTTTCTTTCCTGAAACGGTGTATTGTCCCAACGACCGGTTTTAATGTGGAGTCTGTGATTGGAAGTCCTGAAGTTTATCAGTCGCATAATACCTATTCTAGCTTAAAGTAATAAGTAGTTTCCCATATTCATGTTTTCTTTTAAACCATGGTAAAATTTTCCCTTTGCTGATAAAGTTACCGACAATTGCCACTCCTGTATATCAAGGTAATTTACTGCTGTTGTTATCAGGACTGAACTGAACTTTCCAGTGTGTCCAAATTCTGACAAATCATATATCGATCTAAAGTAT